GCACTGGACTCCATCTTCATCTGGAGTTCCCAGTGATGCTGGTGCTTGTATGGGTGTCTTGTGTAAGCAGCTGTTCGATTCCTGGGGAGGGGAGAATTCTGAGGATAGGGTTTTGAGCCACTAGGATTAAGTCCCAAACCCTGTGGATTGGAAAGATGAGCCCCAAGAAGGAGGTCTAGGACAGAAAAGGGGTGTGCGATTAAGGACAGGCCCTAGTGCACTCTGATGTGAGATGGGGTCCTGGGAAGAGGCTGAAGTTGTAGATTTAAGGATCTGAGAGGTGCAATGCTAGGGCTTGGGATGCTTCCTTGCTAAGGCCTTAGGGCACTGGTGGCCATGTCCTAGGGAGCCCACGGCCAGCTGTAAGCGCGGGAAGTCGTGGGCCAGGTGCCCAGCACACCTTGGGTGTCAGGAAGCCGCGGAAGGCCGTGTCCTTGATGACCCGGTGCGGCAGGTTCATGGGGATGACGTCAGCGAAGCGCCGCCCCTCGTGGATCACGGCGTCGGCGTAGGGCGTGGCCGCGCGGTCCTCCAGCGTGGGCTGTCGCGAGTGTTGATCTCTTCCTGCACGCGGGCTGGAGGCAGAGGAGGGAAGGCGGGGAGGGGCTGGGACTGGGGGTGGGACTTCCGGCTGCTGCTGGGATTCTGGGCGGGGCTTCCAGGACCTGGCTGGTTGGCTGATGGGTCCAGTGGTTGGGTGGAACGTGCATGCGCATGCTCTGGGGGGAAGGGGGGGCAGGAAAGAAACTTGGGGGTCCACCCAGAGGCTGGGCTTAGGAAGGGGGTGGGTCACAGACAGGGCTTTGTGGGTGGGATAATACAATGGAGGGGGGGATGTGTTTTGGACTTGCTCAGAGTCCGGGCCTTGGGAGGCCTGAGCAGGGAGTGAAACTGGAGAGATGGATTGGGTATTTGGCCACAGGCATCAATTGGGAGATATGGTTGGAGGGGTGGTCAGGGGCGTGGTTAGGGGTGTGGCTTTACATGGGACATGTGGGCGTGGTGAGGGGCGTGTTCTGGGCCAGGATTGGGGGCGTGGCTTTGGGCAGGGCTGCGGTAGGACCTAGAAAAGTGGTCATAGGGGGGACCCCTGCAGCGCGGGTAGGATCCTTGGTAGCAGGTGTGGACCCCTAAGGGCTGGGCTGGGCCACCTCAGGCGTTAGCGCTATGTGGATAGGACTCAGGGCCAGCTGGCAGGGGGGCAGCACCTTGAATTTTGGGGTATTTCATTAGTATGAGGAAGGCATGGCGCAGCGTGGTGCCCACTGTCTCGGTGCCACCGAAAAGGAGGTTATGTGTGGTCATCAGCAGGGTGTCCATTTGGAAGTGGGTGAGCGGGTCCTTCTTCTCCTGCAGAGGTTGACACATGACGGTACAGGCCAGGGCCAGGGGATCCCATTCCCCAACCGGTGCCGCCAATGCTGCTGGGTGCCAGGTTGGCTCATTCCCTGGTTCCCTTTCCAGGAAGATGGGTGGGGGGCACCTTGGGGAGGTGCAAAGACCAGATAGGGAAAATCTCAGCCTCAGGCTCCAGGCAGCGGCAAGGTCTTAATGAGCTGCTAATTGGCGCTCTCAGCAGAGCCAAGGCCCCCAGCCCTTGCCTAATCTGGGATCCCTGGAGGTTTGAGGCCAGGGTAGCAAGAGGGTTGGTTTCAGGCTAGACTACAGGTGGGATTTCCAAGCTGAGGATTACCTGTGCCATCTTGGTGAGAAAACAATCGATGAAGTCCCGGGGATTGTCAGGGTCTGGGGAAGCCTGGTGTTCACGGATGCTGCGAGCGATCAGATCTTTCATACCTCTGAAGTTCTGGAACATTAGTCGATATGACCCCACAGGCAGCCAGTCCAGAAGACCTGGGAAGATGTTGTATAGCTGGGGAGTGGGAAGAGTTGGAAAGGCTTGGAGGAGCAGGCAGGATGTCTTTATTTTCTTCCTTCTTTCCTTCCTTCCTTCCTTCCTTCCTTCCTTCCTTCCTTCCTTCCTTCCTTCCTTCCTTCCTTCCTTCCTTCCTTCTCTCTTCCTCTCCCTCTCCCTCTCCTGGCTTAAACTTAGGCCTGGACACTGTCCCTTAACTCTTCAGCTCAAGGCTAGCACTCTACCACTTGAGCCACAGCGCCACTCCCGGCTCTTTTTTTCTGCTTATGTGGTGCTGAGGGATTGAACCCAGGGCCTCATGCATGCAAGGCAAGCGCTCTACCACTGAGCCACCTTCCCAGCCCTTTCTTTTCTTTCTTGTGCATGCTTCCCCTAAGGCTTGAACTCAGGGCTAAGCTGGAGCTTTTTGGCTTAAGGCTACTGCTCTACTACTTGAACATACACCTTTGTGTGGTTAATGGGAAATAAGAGTCTCATAGACTTTTTCTGGGCTGGCTTTGAACTGGATTTCTTAGCTCTCAACTTGGTGGTGTGAATAAGCCAACAGTGCTGGGGTGGAATTTTTTGGGGGAAGGGATGTGTACAGAGGAAGGAGACATGGGGTAAATCAAGAGCTGTAAGCAGCCTGGACACCTATTAGGTCTGGAGTGGCCAGAGGATAGAGGAGATGGGTGTGGCCATCAGGGGTAGGAGTGTGGCCAGACTGGGACAGTGGAGGTTCCTGTGCAGAGGGCCATGGGCATATGGGGGCGTGGTCAGACAATAATGGTTGTGGACAAACTGGGTCTTGGAGGTCCCTTCTCCAAAGGGTTGTGGCCCAGTGTCATCATGGCCAGACTGTATCAGTGTTGGTCTCTGCAGGTTATTTCTAATGTGTTTAAATCCTGGGAACCACACCCTCCTCCCTTTTCACCCCTAGCACAGCGCTCTCCCAACTCAGTCTGCTGACCTCATGATATGGAAACTGTCACTGATGAAGTGGATAATGACCACCAAATGCTCATCACTAATTGAAGCGGCGGCCGAAGATCACCGAACAGATGATGTTGGACACGGAGGGGCTCAGCATGAACATTGGGACAAAGGATTTGCCTGAAGGGTGGAGAATGCCAGGGGAGGTTCATTTGTCTTTTCATTTTTAGATAAATCTGTATTTTTTTTGTCAGTCATGGGGCTTGAACTCTGGGCCTGGGCACTGTCCTGAGCTCTTCAGCTCAAGGCCAGTACTCTACCACTTGAGCCACAGCGTCACTTCCGGTTTTCTGGTGGTTTATTGGAAATAAGAGTCTCACAGACTTTCCAGGCCAGGCTGACTTTAACCGTGATCCTCAGATCTCAGCCTCCTGAGTAGCTAGGATTACAGGCGTGAGCCACCAGCATCTGGCTGAATCTGTATTCTTCTTTTTTTTGCGGGGGGGGGGGGGGGGGGGGGGGTCCGGTCGTGGGACCTGAATTCTGGGCCTGTGCGCTGTCCCTCAGCTCTTCAGCTCAAGGCTAGCGCTCTACCACTTGAGCCACAGCGCCACTTCCGGCTTTTTTCTTTTTGCTTATGTGGTGCTGAGGAATCGAACCCAGGGCCTCAGGCATGCAAGGCAAGCGCTCTACCACTGAGCCACCTTCCCAGCCCAGAATCTGTATTCTTTACCTTATATATAGTGTATACCTGCGTACATCTGAGGAAAGGTGGGCGGAGGGCACAGAATCAGTGGAAAATGGGTGAAAACGTGCAGCAGTGGGGCTCACTGGCTGCAGTGGACATTGGTGAAAGTGAACCAAGCAACTCATGGGCAGAGACAGGAGGCAGGGATTGAGAGAGAATTAAGGAACAGATGATACTAAGCAAAAGGAAAGAACTATACTTATTACCTGATGTATGTAAAGGTAACTGCACTGTATATTACCTCTAAAAGAATGATAAAGTAATATAACAGAAAAGAATGGGGAGAACAGGTTGTTTTGTTTTTTTTTTTTGGTCAGTCTTGGGGCTTGAACTCTGGGTCTGGGCACTGTCCTGAGCTCTTCAGCTCAAGGCTAGCGCTCTACAACTTGTGCCACAGCTCCACTTCCAGTTTTCTGGTGGTTCATTGGAGATAAGAATCTCAAGGACAGCCGGGCGCTGGTGGCTCACGCCTGTAATCCTAGCTACTCAGGAGGCTGAGATCTGAGGATTGCGGTTCAAAGCCAGCCCGGGCAGGAAAGACCGTGAGACTCCTATCTCCAATAAACCACCAGAAAACCGGAAGTGGCGCTGTAGCTCAATTGGTAGAGCGCTCGCCTTGAGCTGAAGAGCTGAGGGACAGCGCCCAGGCCCAGAGTTCAAGCCCCACGACTGACAAAAAAAAAAAAAAAAAAGAATCTTAAGGACTTTACTACCCCTGCTGGCTTTGAACTGCTATTCTCAGATCTCAGCCTCCTGAGTAGCTAGGATTACAGGCGTGAGCCTCTGGTGCTGCAGGGCTAATTTTTTTTTTTTTTTAAAGAAAAACAAAACAGGGCTGGGAAGGTGGCTCAGTGGTAGAGTGCTTGCCTTGCATACATGAGGCCCTGGGTTTGATTCCTCAGCACCACATAAGCAGAAAAAGCCGGAAGTGGCGCTGTGGCTCAAATGGTAGAACGCTAGCCTTGAGCTGAAGAGTTGAGGGACAGCACCCAGGCCCAGAGTTCAGGCCCCATGACCGGACCCCCCCCCCCAAAAAAAAAAAAGAAAAACAAAACAATGGGGAGAGCCAGGTGCTGGTGGCTCATGCCTAAAATCTTTTTTTTTTTTTTTTGTCGGTCGTGGGGCTTGAACTCTGGGCCTGGGCGTTGTCCCTCAGCTCTTCAGCTCAAGGTGAGCGCTCTGCCACTTGAACTACAGCGCCACTTCCGGTTTTCTGGTGGTTTATTGGAGATAGGAGTCTCATGGTTTCTCCTGCCCTGGCTGGCTTTGAACCGCGATCCTCAGATCTCAGCCTCCTGAGTAGCTAGGATTACAGGCGTGAGGCACCAGCGCCCGGCTCATGCCTAAAATCTTGATCATAGCAGATCCACTTCTAGGGGTGCCATTCTCATAATGAGTCAAGTGAGGACCCCCCCCCCCCAGAAATTTTGCTTTCACAACAATGGCTACTAAGAAGGATGGGTGTGAGTTAGGGGTGCAGACTGTATTCACTAAGGACCCCCCCCCACCCCGACCTTGTGTATTCTGCAGGGACTCCAACAGGAAGCTGCTTTCCTCAGGATCCACTCCTCCATGCTTCTCTTTCCCATCCCAAAGTTCCGTAGTATCTGGACAGAGAACCTTCTCAGGGCCTTCCACCGTTCTCCATTGGAGAAAGCGATGCCTGGGGAGAGGAGCAGTGCTTGGCTCAGTGGACAACTCAGCCCCTGAATCCCCCTTTTCCTGGTGTTTGCTGGAAGGGAGACTGAGTCTCTTTCCAGGGAACCATCCCTGACCCTCCAGGCTGAGCCAGGTTGTTTTCTTGGAGTTTTCATTGGGCCTTGGGCTTCCCTTTCCCCACTTCTGAACACCCTGACTCTTTCTTTCTTTAAGGACCTTATAACTTCTGGGTGCCGGTGGCTCCCACTTGTCATCCTAGCTACTCAGGAGGCTGAGATCTGAGGTTCATGGGTCAAAGATAGCCTGGGCAGGAATGAGACTATTATATCCAATAAACCACCAAAACATTGGAAGTGGAGCTGTGGCTCAAGTGGTAGAATGTCAGTCTTAGTCAGAATGCTGAGAGACAGCACTCAGGTCCTGAGTTTAAGCCCCAGTACTGGCACAGACACACAGTAAGGATTTCCTCATTGATGACACACTAGTCAGCCAGGACAGGGGTGTGTATTGTTCACTGCTCTGTCCTTGGTTTTGCCCAGTGGAAGCCTTGCTGGTGGTTACTCATTGATCACTGCACAATAAGAGAGATTAAACAAAGAAAATAAACCGAGGGTCACTCACTGGGAGCCCATCCCAGAACCAGCCTGGATGCTGGACCTTTGCATAGACCTTGTTTGTCGGGTCTTCGTCCATCCATAAGGACGGGGTCCGAGGAAAGGTAAGTGGGGCCCTTGCCCGTTTCCCAGCCTCCCTCAGCCTGGGAGACAATCAGAGGCAGTGGGGAGTCAAGTCAAGCAGGAAACTCGTTTATTAACACAGAGCAAGCCCTTTTTAAAGCAAAAAAGAGCGGGTGGCATGGCAGGGGAGGAAGAGGAACCAATCGCTGTCAAGGTCACACCCTATCATGCACCTAAGCTTGCACGGGCTGGTTACTCACTGAACGTAAAGCAAATTGGGCTCTGCCCACTCAACTCCATCTCAGCGCCATCTTTGCTGCCCATGTGCTCTACACTTGTTGCAAGTTCTCTTGGTTTTCCTCCTAAATACTGTTTACCCCTGGCCTGCTACTGGCTTGATATTTTCATCTTTCAGGTCTCAGTTTGGAGGGGAAAGCTTCCTTCTCTTTCAGGAAGCCTTCTATGGTTTTCCCTTGCTGGTTCTAACACTTTTTTTTTTTTTTGTCGGTCATGGGGCCTGAACTCTGTGCCTGGGCGCTGTCTCTCAGCTCTTCAGCTCTTCAGCTCAATGCTAGTGCTCTATCACTTGAGCCACAGTACCACTTCTGGCTTTTTCTGCTTATGTGGTGCTGAGGAATCGAATCCAAGGCCTCATGCATGCAAAGCAAGCACTCTACCACTGAGCCACCTTCCCAGCCCCAGTTCTAGCATTTTTAAATTTAAATTTTATTTTATTTTTAGGGCTTGAACTCAGGCCCTGGGCGCTGTCCTTGAGCCTCTTTGTGTTCTTACCCTGGACCCACACTGACACTGGCTTTTTCTACATCGTTTAGTGGAGATAAGAGTCTGACTCTCAGCCAGGCGCCAGAGGCTTACACCAGTAATCCTAACTATTCAGGAGGCTGAGATCTGAGGATTGTGGTTCAAAGCTATCCCCTGCAAGAAAGTCCACGAGCCTCTTATCTTCAATAAACCACCAGAAAACCGGAAGTGGTGCTGTGGCTCAAGTGGTAGAGTGCTCACCTTGAGCTGAAGAGCTGAGGGACAGCACCCAGGCCCAGAACTCAAGCCCCACAACTGACAAAAAAAAAAGTCTGACTCTTATCTCTGTGATCCCCAGATCTTACCCTCCAGAGTAGCTAAGATTATAGGCAAGAGTCATCAGAGCCCAGCTCCAGCCCTTCTTTTGGACACTCCTAGCTGTGGGAAGCCAAAAGGTTGAGCTATGAGACCCCCAAAGGACTGAGAGTTTAGAAGGCCTTCTCCCAACATACTCTCAGAATACCGAGAATTTCCTGGAAAGGCCAATCAGTCCTGGCTTAACAGGAATACAGTTCTATCCTGGGCTTGGGCTAATTCTACCCTAAACTGTGTGGGAACTTGGGGGGTAGACTAAGATTTTTGCAAAGTGTAAGATGTCCACTGTTTAGCTCTCACTCCCACGATAAGGAAATCCTCTATTATGTTTGTATGAAATATTGTCATGGGTTGAGGTTTATACTTTACTCTGCACATACTTCCCCATACGAAATCAATAAAAACCTTGGGGAATGGAACCTTGGGATCTGAAACTGGTGGAAGGCTACAGTCCAACACCCAAACCTCAATTCCACAGTCCAGTCTCTGTTACTGCCTTGCTCCTTCCTGGTTGCCACCTGTTAAGGGACATATCGTAGGTGGCAATACCTAGTTCCCAGGCTGATCTGTCTCTAGCCTTGCTGGGAAGCATTTCCCATTGTAGTGAGAACCACAGGACAACTCCTTACTATCATAGTCTCATGATGGCTTGCATTTCCCATTGGACTTTGAACCACAGGATAATGTCTTTTTTTTATGTACTGGGGCTTGAACTCAGGGCCTGGGCACTGTCCCTAAGCTATTTTGCTCCAGGCTGCCACTTTACCACTTGAGTCACAGCTCTACTTCTGGCTTTTTGGTGTTTCATTGGAGATAAGATCCTCACAGACTTTCCTTCGGGGACTGACTTTGAACTGTGATCATCCAGATCTCAGGCCTCCTGAGTAGCTAGGATTACAGGCATGAGCCGCTGGTGCTTGGCTAAGCCTTTCAGTGACAGAAGATGTTTGAGATCACTTAATAGTCCATGCCCCGTCGTTTGCTTTAAAAAAGACATTTATAATTTAAATGTGTTTCAGAAGCACAAGCCTACGTGATTGCTAAGTCTGTGGGGGCACTGGGTAGAGGAGAGGCTTAGAATGTACGATGTGCATTGCCGGACGGCAGATCATGGAGATGAGTTTGGGTTGAGGTGGGCCTGACCGTAGGGAAGTTGAAGGAGTGAGAAAATGGTGAAGCTGATGGGAAATTGGGCTTGAGGCTGGTGATGGGGATAGAGTTGGATGGACTTGCAGTTTGGACTTGAGTTGGTTTGGTGATGGTAGTAGGATTGAGGTTGAAAATGGAGACTGGGGTTTGATAACTTAGGTCAGTGATTGAGATTGAAGATGTGGCTCATCTGGGAGGAGAAATGACTAGAGAGTTCAATCTGACTAATGGTATTAAGATGGGCTGGATAATACAATTTAAGAAGTGGATGCTGGGTGCTGGTGACTCATGCCAGTCATCCTAGCGACTCACGAAGCTCAGATCTGGGGATCATGGATCAAAGCCAGCTTGGGCAGGAAAGTGTGAGGCTCTTATCTCCAATGAACCATCCAAAGAACCAAAAGTAGAGCTTGGTTCACGTGGTAGAGAAATAGCCTTAAACACAAAAGCTGGAGTTGGATAGCGATGGGGATTGGGATGGCGGTGCCATTCAAGGTTCTGGAGTGACAGGGGTGGGGAGGAGAAGCTTAGGGAATGGTGGAGAAGGGAGGAGGCTTACCATTGCCCTTAGTAAAGTTGAAAAACACTGGGTAATCTCCACGGCCACTGAACTCCTCCCCCTGGTCCACCAGCGCCTCCTTCACTGTTTGGTAACCGCTGAGTACCACGACTTTCCTGGGCCCCAGGTACCCGGTGTACATGGAGCCATATTCCTTGCTCAGCTGAGGATGGAAGGAAGTCACAGGGGGCTCTTCCCCCTCCCCCTCCCCGGCCCCATCCCGTTCCCCCAAGGCCCCATCCTGCATCTTGGTGAGTGAGGTCAGCAAATCTTGGGAGCGGAGCTGCAGCAGGTTCCCCAGAATGGGGAGAGGCCTGGGGCCAGGGGGCAGCCGGCCCTTGCTGCGAAAACCAAAGGACAGGAGCAGGTAGATGCCGGCCAGCAGCAGGAACAGCACCACGGTGCCCACACTGTCCATGCCCAGGCAGCTGCTGGGTCTGGAAAGCAAAGGGAGATGAGAGTAGGGGCCTCTCAGTCCTCTCTCCTTCTGGAGTCTTCCTTCCTCAGGTCTTGGCAATGGGGGAGAGAAAAGAGGGAGAGAGAGGCAGAGAGGCCAGAGGAGAGGGGAGGGCAGGAGGAGGAATATACGGTACAAACTAGAGGATGAGATGTTCCAAATACAGAAAGACAGGGATGTGGCTGAGAGAGACATAGCCATATTGGAGACACTGATATTTCTAGTCTTACCTAGATGTCCTTATCTATCTATCTTCTATTAATAATCTATTCTATCTATTTAATCTCCTATCCATCAATTTGTCTGTCTGGCTATAAAGATACTCACTGTAGGCACAGAGATTAGACAAATCAAAACACAGAGATTGAGCAAGATTGAGAGAGAGAAAAACGAATCTCAGAAGAGAGATCGAGGGAGAGAGAAAAAAAATCTCAGAAAGAGAGGCTGACACAAACTAGAGAAAGAGGCAGAATCAGACCTAAAGCTAGAGAAAGACAGAAGAGATGGAGATAAGGAGACAGAGAGGGGTACAATTTCTGAAAGCAACCACAACCACATCTTTGTCTCAAAAACAATAAAAACAGACAAAAAAAACCCTACCCAGAGAGATACTTCAAGACACAAAGAGAAGAAAAAAGAAGAGAAGGGAGAGAGAGAGAGAGAGAGAGAGAGACAGACAGACAGACAGACAGACAGACAGACAGACACAGACACAGAGAAAGAAAGGAGTGGGGAGAGAGGGAGATGGAGAGGGAAAGGGAGAGAGGCAAGAATGACTTAGAAGAAAAAGAGCCACAGAGACAGAACACAGACCCAGAGACATCTTGATTCCCCTAGAAGCTGGCAGGTAGGTTTGGGGAGAGGGAGATATGGAACCCACAGCCTTAGCTTTGCAGAGTCATCCCTCCTCCTCCACACCCCTCCCCTTACCTGCTGTGCACAGCGGAGGTAACTGGTGATCTGGGCTGTGGTGACTTCTCAGATTGTTTTTATCTTCACCCTTCCTTTGCTCTACCCCAGCCCTGCCCACCTCCCCACCCTGCCCTGGACCAGCAGTCCTGGGGGTGGGGACCACAGCCCAGGAACCCTCCTTCACCTGGGGCCTTGTAGGCTGCAGACTGAGCTGTGCTCTCCCAGCTGAGGCCATTGCTAGATGATTGTCTCTGATCATGGCAAAGGCTTCTGCTCTAGGCTGGGTTCTGCGATTGGGGTGGTTGTGGGGTTGTGGGGTGCAGGATGGGACTGCAGGATGGGACTGACCTGGACAGGAGCAGATCTAATGCTGCAGAGGCATCTTTTTTTTTCTTTATTCATGGGCCTTGAAGTCAGGGCCTGGGCACTGTCCCTAGGCTCTTCTGCTTAAGGGTATCTCTCTACAATGTTGAGTCAGAGCACCACTTCTGGTTTTCTAGTGGTTTATTGGAGATAAGAGTCTCATAGACTTAACTGCTCAGGCTGGCTTTGGACCACAATCCTTAGATTGCAGCCTCCTGAGTCACTAGGATTACAGACGTGAGCCACCAGTGCCTGGCTCTTTTGGTCTTTGGACACTTTTTTTTTTTTTTTTTTTTTGGGTCCGGTCGTGGGGCCTGAACTCTGGCCTGGGCGCTGTCCCTCAGCTCTTCAGCTCAAGGCTAGCGCTCTACCACTTGAGCCACAGCGCCATTACCGGCTTTTTTCTTTTTGCATATGTGGTGCTGAGGAATCGAACCCAGGGCCTTGAGCATGCAAGGCAAGCGCTCTACCACTGAGCCACCTTCCCAGCCCTGGTCTTTGGACATTTTAAAAAAAAATTGCTTTGCAACTTACTGGTCAGTGATCTTGGGGAAGCCATTTTCGTCCCTGGATTTTCTTGTGTCTAGGGGGCTGAGTTTCAGTAAGTTCCCTGCCCTCCCCCCTCCTTCTCTTCCTCCTTCTCCTGTGTCCTTGGGATTGAACTCAGGGCCTCAGCTGTGGTCTTTTTTTGTTTTGTTTTGTCAGTTGTGGGGCTTGAACTCTGGGCTTGGGCACTGTCCCTGTGCTCTTGAGCTTAAGGCAAGAGCTCTACCACTTGAGCCGCAGTGCCACTTCTGGTTTTCTAGTGGTTTATTGGAGATAGGAGTCTCACAGACTTTCGTGCCCAGGCTGGCTTTGAACTGTGATCCTCAGATCTCAGCCTCCTGAGTAGCTAGGATGACAGGCATGAGCCACTGGTACAGGCCCAGCTGTGTTCTTTAGGTTTACTTTTACTCAAGGCTGGAGCTCTACCACTTCAGCCACAGCTCCATTTCCTTCATAGCTAGTCTTCATTTCTCCATCTCTTAGGGCTTGCTTGTCTCTGATATTCTGTGACATTGGTTTCTCTGTCTCAGGCAGAGGTGGGGTGGGAAGGGCAGGGAGGATCTCAGCTGTAGGTTCTCGTTGGTTCTCTCTCTTTCTCTGGGTCTTGGGTCTTTGGCATGCTTTCTCCTTCTCTCTGTCCTTCTGCTATCCATCTCCTGATAAATCCATGCTTATACCTTTTAGCCCTGCCTAGGAGAATAGCCCCCTCCCGCTTCCTCTTTGTGAAAGACAGTGCCACAGCCTTATCAGAAATCACCTGCCTGAAACCAGTAATCACCTGACTGTCAACCACCTGACTGTGAGTCAGCAAAGGACCTCAGACTCTGAGGTCACTTCCTCATCTGCTGACATCACTTCCTGAACCACCTGGTCATGCCTCCTTCAGACAGTGAGAGGTTCCCCAGGCTTTGAGATCACTCCCGCATCTGCTGTGATCACACTTCCCACCTTTCCCTATACAATTCCACTCACCCAGAGTCCCCTCCCTCTTCTCTCCTCTCTCTGCATACCTCCATCTTGTGTGGGCCAGCGGTCTGCTCTCCCACTAATAAACTCTTTTCTGCCTGAATCATCTGGCAGTCTTCTTTGGCCTAACCTTACATTTATGCCGAAACCCAGGAGGAGATGGTGTCAGGAGTCACTGGATCCCCTCCTCTTCTCTCTCTGAGGGTCAATCTGCCTCCTGATGCTCCTCCTTGGACCAAACTGCCAAAAGCCAGAGGAACCCCACCTTAGACTTCTTTTTTTTTTTGGGGTCCGGTCGTGGGGCCTGAACTCTGGGTCTGGGCGCTGTCCCTCAGCTCTTCAGCTCAAGGCTAGCATTCTACCACTTGAGCCACAGTGCCACTTCTGGCTTTTTTTCTTTTTGCTTATGTGGTGCTGAGGAATCAAACCCAGGGCCTCTGGCTTGCAAGGCAAGCGCTCTACCACTGAGCCACCTTCCCAGCCCCCCACCTTAGACTTCTTGCCTTTACCATTGCTTGCTACACATCCACCACACGGTCTCCTCTCTATATCAGGAGAGTGACTTTCCTCTATTGATCCTCTGTTCTTTTTTTTTTTTTTTTGTCAGTCATGGGGCTTGAACTCTGGGCCTGGGCGCTGTCCCTCAGCTCTTCAGCTCAAGGCCAGCGCTCTACCCCTTGAACCACAGAGCTACTTCTGGTTTTCTGGCGATTAATTGGAGATAAGAGTCCCACGGACTATCCTGTCTGGGCTGGCTTTGAATCGTGATCCTCAGATCTCAGCCTCCTGTGTAGCTAGGATGACAGGCGTGAGCCACCGGTGCCCGGCTAAGGTCCTCTGTTATTCTGCTGGCTTTTTGGACATGGCTCCATGCCAGGGGGCCCCTGTGCCTTCTTGGCTGGTCACTTCCTACTTTGAGGATACCTGAATCAGAAATCTGACTCTCACTCTCAAAGAGACTCCAGTGGACAGGGACACCTTCCATCTGTAACCTCTTTACACTCACCAGATTCCTCCCCTCTCTGTCCTCCAGGCCTCTTCCCTCTATGTCTTCTGCATCTCTGCCCTCCTACATCCTCCGGGACTCAGTCCTTCTATGTCTTCCACAGCTCCTCTCTCCCATGTCCTTTGGAACTCCTCCCCCATATGTCCTCTGAGACTCTGTCCCCCTATGTCCTCACCGGACTTTCCAATGGGGTCCTATCAATTTCTTCTGAGCTGGGATACTTCCTTGGGATGGCTCCTTCATTCTTTAGATATTCTCCTACTCAAGCCAAAATACGTTATAGGCTACAACAGTCTTAATGGCCCATCCTTTTGGCTTGTGCCCTTGAGCGTGGGACTCTGGCGGTCCTTTTCCCACCCCTCCCCCTAGGTTTCCTCTCCAAGGTTAGGCATTCTTGGCTTGAAACTGTAAGGTAAATTAGTAGCTGATGAAGAGAATGCCAGGTAGTATTCAAGGCAGGAAGAGATGTTTTATTATTACCAAAGTGCTTCACAGCCATGCATGGTGGAGACTCACAGGCTGAAAGGAGCTAGCCGCTGTCCTGCCTGGGTTTAAGTCAGGAAGGGGTGGTGAGAAGGTGAGGCCAGGGAAGGGAAGGTGTGGCCACACTGGATGCGGATGTGACCTCAGGGCCTGGTGGGATCCTCTCCCCAGTCTGATGGGACCTTGGTGTGTGTGTGGGGACAGCTCAGGATGTGACCTCAGAGGAGGGGGAGGTGACTGCTTCCAGGTGTGCCAGTTACCTAGGTGACACAGGTACTGGAGCGGAGACTTATGCAGGAGGTAGGGAGTCCAGGGCCTGTGCAGGACCAGGCAAGACCATATAGAAACCAGATCTAAAAGCAAAAGAAACTTATCTGCTTAGAAATTTGGCCTCAGCCGGACAGCACTCCTTTATATGTTCATGTGGCTCTTACGTTAGTAAAAATGGATGGAATGGGCCAACTATTTCAAAAGATCCAAGGATTTTTTTTCCCCTATGTATTTTGGATGACCATATTATAGTAAATACTATAGAGATCATGGGAATAAAGAGTTTCATAAGGCCATTTTCCAAAATGGTTTGGTGCCATTAAGTCTGATTTACAGAGCCACACTTAAAATACCTCAGGGTAATTACTATTAATTTTGGGAGGTGAACTTTTTCTTTCCCATTTTTTGATAACCCAGTAGAATTGCAGTGCAATTAGAAGAAGATTCTTTTGAGAAATGTCATATTAAGATCTTAGAATGTAAACACATTTGTATAGTACTATCCATAACTCTTCCTCAGGTTTTTAACTACTGGAAATCCTTAACCAATTACAATAGTTTTTTCTTCTTTTTATTTTCAAAATGATTTGATTGCTTTTATTAGACATTCTTTGCTGATATTTTTTGTAATTATAGTTCATCTAAACAAGCTGTTTTCTGAACATTAAAATTTGTAATCTAAAGATAAAATCCTATTTTTAATGAACTTACAGAAGTAGCAACATCATTATTTTTCATTCCTTTAGGAAATAGCTATTGCCAAAGTGAAGAGGTAGATTATATTTCATGTTGTTATATAATGGGGATGCGTTTGGCAGAGGAATTGTTTTCTTTATAAAGTTTCAAAGGGTGTCAGTGTTCATTTATGCCATTTCTTCAGTTCCAAAATGGTTCTATTCCATACCAGAAATTTGAAATATGTAATCTGAAATCCTTAATAAAACTTGGATTTAATTTTATTACAAAAAAGAAATTTGGCCTCAGTATCAATTGACAATCACAGATTTAAAAACTTAACCACTTAGAACTTTGACCTTAGTACCAATTGGGTAATTGGACTGACCGGAAAACACCACCTTTTAAAATTTCCTTTATTTGCAGTAATATTTATTAATACATATTAAAGTAATAAATATTGTCCTGTGATTTTTTTAAATTTATGAACATTAGTACAGGTACTTTCCCCACTATGTCACAATAATACAGTGGCAATAGCAACAAAAGCAATAACAATATCTCTTCCTGTTAGATGCTTATTAAAGCTTTCATATTTGTTTTAAGTATTGTTTATTTTAATCTTCACTGCTGCTGTGATTTAAGTATTTCATTACCCTCACTTTATTAGTGAGTAAATGAAGGATTTTAGAATTTAATTTATTTTACAAATTTACACAACTCTTTAGCATTTAGTCTAAGTTTCTAGACACAAAGTCTGTGG